GGGGGGGTTAGGGGGGGGGGGGTGGAAGTAAAGGTTGAGTATTAGGAAAAACTATTTCACTAGGGCTGTGTCTAGACTGCAGGGTTTATTCAAAAAAAGTTGCCTTTTTTCGAAAAAACTTCACCTGCGTCTAGACTACAGCCGCGTTCTTTTGAAATTAAATCGAAAGAACGTGGCTTTTCTTTTGACGGCGGTACTCCTCATTTCACGAGGAAGAATGCCTTTTTTCGAAAGTGCTCTTTCGAAAAAAGGCGTTCTTGAGTGCAAACAGGGCTTTTTCGAAAGAGAGCATCCAGACTGCCTGGGTGCTCTCTTTCAAAAAAGCGGCATGCTTTTTTGAAAGTACTGCTTGCAGTCTAGACACTCTTTTTCAAAAGAGGCTTTTTCGAAAGTATCTTTCGAAAAAGCCTCTTTCGAAAGAAGCTTGCAGTCCAGACGTAGCCTAGGAGGATGGTGAAGCACTGGAATGGATTACATAAGGAAGTGGTAGAATCTTTATCTTTAGTGGTTTTAAAGTCATGGCTTGGCAAAGCCCTGGCTAGGATGATTTATTTGGGATAGGGTTCGACTCGAACTCCTGAAGTCTCTTTCAACCCTATGATTCTATGAAAGTCTTACTTTCATATGTGACTGACATTTTATCTTTGATGCAGGCAGGCACAGTGCTGCTAAATGCATGAGTGTCCACAGAAGGTGCACAATACTTTACAGAACTGCCAGTCTGGCTTTCTGCTAGGTTACGTCTAGACTGCAAGCAGTACTTTTGAAAAAGCAAGCGTTTTTTTGAAAGAGAGCACCCAGGCAGTCCGGATGCTCTCTTTTGAAAAAGCACAGTTTGCATTACATAGTGCCTTTTTTGAAAGAGCACTTTCGAAAAAAGGCGTTCTTCCTCGTAAAATGAGGTTGTCCGCAGTCGAAAAAACTGCCACATTCTTTCAATCTACTTTTAAAAGAATGTGGCAGCAGTCTAGACGCAGGGGAAGCTTTTTTAAAAAAAGGCCACTTTTTCAAAAAAAGCCTGTAGACACAAAGAAGTGGGGTACATTTCCTGCCACAATTTTTATGACTTGTGCCTTTAATGGATTGTCAGAACTCCTAAGCTTGGAACTAATGTATTTTCAATGTTCAAATAAAAGATTAAAATAAATACACTCCTTAATGTTTTTAAAGATCTTTGAAATGCATAGCTTTGAAGTTTCTATAGAAGTATAAAGTATTTTATACATCATAACACAAAATAAAGTGGTCGGATGTAAGTTATAATTTTGTTCACAATTCCAGGACTAATAGAACCATTTAAAAAAAATAAAATACAGAACCTTGCTTTTATGTTATCAAGAAATTAATATATGTGGCAGGAACTTAGGAAATGGCAGGTATATTGTTATTATTATGCCACTGGATGGAGAAGGAAGACTTAGCAGGAGAGAGAAATAATTTGACATGCTCATAATAACTTAAAAAAGTATTTCTGTGAGTGTTATACTGAGAAGTACTTCAGACTCATTTTCTTTAACGGGAGTATTTCCAGATTGAAGTACAGTACTACTGAATGTGAATAAGGCCTTGTCCATAAGTGAGAATTGTATTGTTGTAACCTAAGGTGTGAATTTACACCAATTAAACTGGTGCAAAGTCTTGTGTGGACACTTATCTCAGATTGGCTTTTGTTTTTTGTTTATTTTAAATCAATTTGGAATGCATTTAATCTAAACTGAAATAAGGGACTTTGAAATAAAAATAAAAATATCCAGTTAACTTAAATGGGGGTAACCTTTCCAGTGTAGATGGATGACAGGCACTAGCCCTGCATAGATAGGCTTCTCTTTTTTAAAATTAAGATAGTTGGACAATTCTACAAGATAGAAAGGGATAGTGCAGAGGCACCCAAAGTGGTGAAAAATGCATTCCATATCTTTTATTTATTAATAAAAATATCTGTCTTTGATTTAAATTTGAGTAATAATAGATTTAAACTGGGGCTGTCAAACTATGAAAAAAATAAAGCACAATTTAATTGTGAGATTAAAAAAGTCACGATTTGTAGCAGTTTTAATCACATGATTAAACAATAATAGAATACCATATATTTAAATATTTTGGATGTTTTCTACATTTTCAAAGATATTGATTTAAATTACAACACAGAATAAAAAGTGTACAGTGCTCACATTATATTATTATTTTTGATAACAGATATTTGCATTGTGACAAAGATAAACAAATGAAATATTAGTATTCAAATCACCTCAGACAAGTATTCTAGTGCAATCTCAAGCTCCTGTGGGCATCTCTCTCCCTTTGCTCCTCCTGTTAAAAATAACACATTAATTTGTTTTGAGTTAATCACATGCATTAACTGAGTTTAACTGACAGCCCTAATTTATATCTTCATAATTTAAACAAAAATTTCTCACTTTTTAGAGACCACAGATATAATCATTTTCTCTTGTCACCATTCATAATAGAAGTTCAGGAGCTGTGTTTCTTCAAGGCATTGTTTATCCTCACCCAACTTTGTTCTTCATCTCTAAGGTTTCAGTTCAGGAATGTAGCTGAAATGAAAGAGAAATACACACACACACATACAAGAATCATTTGATTGAAGTGACTGATTCAAAAATATTGCTTTTTTCCTAGACAATATGAAGGTGAATCAGGAAATGGATGGTCTTTTCAAGTCATATGAATCAATACCCCAAGTTTCATCATTTTCACCAAGTGTTTTGTTAGTTAAAAAGTTGTTAGATAAGTGTTAAAACACTCTTAGCTATCATAGATATATTAACATTATTAAAGTGAAATCCAAGAACATATTAATATCCATTTCATGTAGTTCTGTTGTAGTTCTGTGCCACCTTAATGTACGTGCAATGATTTGCAAAAATATCATACAAAATTATTTATGAAGCACCTTATTTATGAAGAACTCACCCTGTACAGGGTTGTTAAAATTAGTGCAGGCAATTTATCATAATGTCAGTGGCTTTTACAATATTTTGGTCAAAATTTCAGGTTTTCAGAAAATTATAACCACCCTATAAATTGACAGCAAAATTGACAAGATTTTGTCAAAATCTTGAAAGTGTTCAATGAGCTCTACTGTGCAGCAGCCTGACCTTTCTCCTATGGTAGAGCAGCTCAATAGTATGAGAGGCTACAACAGGGCTAGTGTTTGTCTGAGTATTGTGATACTTCTCAGGGGCACCCAGAGCTATGAGGCACCTGGTAACCACCGGCCTTTAGAGTCAGGGAGCCTTGGCTGTGCTTGCTGTGGTCAGTTCCCCAACGCTACTGGATACAGGCAACACACACTCCTTGCTCGCCCATTGTCACTCTGACAGGCAGCGATACCCACACTCCAACCTTTGAGTCCTAGCATGTCCAACCCTTGGTCCACTGGACATGTGAGGGTTTCACCAATTTACTGATACCACAATAACAATTGGGGGCAGTGAGTGCAGGGAGCAGTTATTCTGCAGAGTGACCCCCGGGGACACTGTGCTTCTAAAATGCCCAATGACAAGGAGTTTGCCTCTTCTCCTGGGACCCACCCACACTCCAACCTTTGAGTCCTAGCATGTCCAACCCTTGGTCCACTGGACATGTGAGGGTTTCACCAATTTACTGATACCACAATAACAATTGGGGGCAGTGAGTGCAGGGAGCAGTTATTCTGCAGAGTGACCCCCGGGGACACTGTGCTTCTAAAATGCCCAATGACAAGGAGTTTGCCTCTTCTCCTGGGACCCACCCTGAATTACTATCCTGCTGACTAAACAGATCTCAGCACCAGCATGTCTCCATATTGCCATTTACCTTGACCTCTCTAATAAACTTAATTTCCACCTACAGGAGGTCAGACAGGAGAAAATTAACTACAGCCCCTTCTGCCACTTCTGAAGTCTCCAAATTAAGTACAGTTCTGTTAACCAGGGCAGACTGGGCACTGTATTTGGAATCCCTATACCTAGGGAATTGTTTATTTACATATTCAAGGGACCCATTCAAGAAACACTTTTTGGGGCCATCTCCCTGGGCAGGTGTCTGATTAAAGTTATCAGGAGGGGATCAGTACTGGAGTGGTATATGCTTAGTCCTGTTCTCCCTTCTCCCATGAACACACTGGGCACCCCATTTTACGCCAGGTTTCTGCCTGACCTTTTGGGACCTGCAGTCTACGAATGGTTTCACTTACATGTATAAATTAGCTGCCCCTTCTACCATTGCTGGGGATATTTCCCACACTGCTGCCCTCACCTCATCAGACTAATTGGTTATACGCCTTTATTTCCAATCCATTTTCTAAGATAAATCCCTTGTTTTATTAACACAGTCCCAGTGATATATCATATCAACTTTGTTGAGGCTTCTAACCTTTATGTGATATGCTCTTGGAGTAATTTAAGACCTTTTTAACACGGACCCTTAAGCAGCTCATACAGCATAATGTCACTTACATCCATATCATTAAACACGTATAAAGCTTCATCAGTTAGTTTGGAAAATATGACAGTCATTCTCTCGTCTTTATCTTTTGCAATCTGACCCCATGTAACTCAGACACAGTTTGTCCCACAGATGGGTGATCCTTGGGAAGGATTAGATCAATAGATTTTAAGTCCAGGAGGGACCATCATGATCATGTAGTTTGACCTTCTGTCCACCACATGCCATGATCCTCGCCCCATTTCCTGTAATAGTCCCATAACCTGTGGCTGAGTTGCCAAAGCCGTCAAATCTTGATTTAAAGACTTCAAGTTACAGAGAATCCAATGTTTACTCTAGTTGAAAGCAGCAAGTGATCTATGCCCCATGTTCCAGAGGATGGTGAAAATCATGGTCCCTGGTAATGTGACCATGAGAAAAATTATTTTCTGACCCCAAATATGGTGCTCAATTAGATCCTGAGCATGTGGGCAAAACCCACCAGCCACACACCTTGGAAATAATTATCTGTAGTAACTCAGAGCCCTCCCTCTCTACTGTCCCGTCTCTGGCTCTTGATAATATTTGCTAATAGCAGTCACAGATGGGCCATATGACTTTATAAGCAATTTCATCGCATCAAACCCTTCATAACTTGAAACCAGTTAGGTTTCTTGCCTAAACTGTTCCCTTTGGAAGTTTGTTCCAGAGCTTCACTCCTCTGATGGTTAGAAACACTCATCTAATTTCAAGCCTAAAGTTGTTGATGGCCAGTTTATATCCATTTCTCTCCCCTTTCCCCTCTTGGTATTCATTCTTCTGATGTATTTATAGAGAGCAATCATGTCTCCCTCTAGCTTTCATTTTATAAGGTAAAACAAGCCAAGTTTCTTAAATCTTCTGTCATATAGTAGATTTTCCATTCCTTGGATCATCTTGGTAGCTCTTGCTTGCATGTGTTCCAGTTTGAATTCATCTTTCTTAAACATGGGATAACTGAACTGCATGAAGTATTACAGATTAAGTCTTACTAGTGCCTCTATATAATGGTACTAACACTTCTCTATCTCTACTGGAAACACCTTGCCTAGTGCATCCAAGGATTATATTAGCCTTTTTTTTCACTCAGGCCTTTCTCCTCCATGGTCACTTCAAACTGATGTCTCAAGTTTATACCAAAAATTCTTTTTGTAAGTCCCTAAATGCATGCACTTGCACTTTGTACTATTAAATTTCCTCCAATTTCTAATACTCTAGTTTTCAAGATAATCTAAATTATGTTGTAAGATTTTCTGGTCCTCCTCCATGCTGGCAAAGCCTTCCAACTTTGTGTCATCTGCAAATTTTATTAAAATACTTCTGGGCCCAAGTAATTAATTAAAATATTAAGTAAGATGAGTCCTACACTAATCCCTGAGGAATTCACTAGTAACCTCCTTCCAGCAGACAGTCTGCTTTCAGCATGACCTATTGTAGTCACTTCTTTAGCCATTCCTTATCCATCTTTCAGTTATTGTATTAATCCCCATTTTCTCCAATTTAACTAAATTTTCCATATGGAATTGTGTCAAATGCTTTACTGAAATCCAGGTAGGTAAGCTCTATTGTATTTCCTTTATCAACAATTTTTTTTTAATCTTTTTGAAGAAAAAGTTCAAATTGGTCTGCTACCATCTACCAATTTTGCAGCCTTAAAAAATAGAGGTACAGAATAACCCCTGAATGTATGAATTCATTAAAAGTTCTTGCTATTGTTTTTGCAATTTCATTGCTAGTTCCTTTAGTATTTTTGGATGGAAATGATCTAGGCTCCCTATATGATTTCATTAAGCTATCTGAGTTTGGCTTTTTGATGGGGTCACTAAGGGTACGTCTAGACTACAGGGTTTTGTTGACAGAAGTTTTGTCGACAGATACTGTCGACAAAGCTTCTGTCGACAAAGAGCGTCTAGACTACATCCAGTTCCTTTGTCGACATAACAGTGTGGACGCAAAGGACAGTGTAGATGCAATAATGCCTTCTATCGACAGAACTCTGTCAACAAAAGGCGTTATTCCTCGTAGAATGAGGTTTACATACATCGACAAAACTGCTGAGTTTTGTCTATATTATGTCGACATAACTCAAAGGCAGTGTGGACGCAGGTATAGTTTTGTCGACAAAAGTCCACTTTTGTCGACAAAACCCTGTAGTCTAGACACACCCTAAGGCTTACTGCTGGAGGCATTCTGGTCCTGACACACTCAGCCCCGAAAAAGAGTACAGAGGACTGTCAAACTGCCTAGAAAGGCTATGTGGAAAGCCACCAATTAGGGCCCACTAGGCTAGCATAAGAAGAGCGGGAAGGCCAGACTGAGAATGGTTCCTTGCTAGAGTGTGTGGCTGTCTGGGGGAACTGCAGAATGGAACCTTATACAGAGCAATACTTATAGAAGCCAGGGAGAGGGGGGAAAACTCCTGTGCTGGTTGCTGGGACTACCCTAAGGTAGGCGTGAAGAGGCTGTGGGGAAGTGGTGCAGGGAGTTAGAGAGGCTGTATGACAGTTAAAGGGACACAGCAGATGGCTGCTATCTGCAGGGTTCTTGGCTGGAATCTGGAGTAGTGGGCAGGCCTGGGTACCCCCTCAAAGCCACATTACTCACTTGGGGGAAGTGGCCTGGATACTGGGTAGGGATAGAATCATAGAATACTAGGACTGGAAGGGACCTTGAGAGGTCATCAAGTCCAGTCCCCTGCCCCCATGGCAGGACCAAATACTGTCTAAACCATCCCTGATAGACATTTATCTAACCTACTCTTAAATATCTCCAGAAATGGAGATTCCACAACCTCCCTGGGCAATTTATTCCAGTGTTTGACTACCCTGACAGTTAGGAACTTTTTCCTAATGTCTAACCTAAACCTCCCTTGCTGCAGTTTAAGCCCATTGCTTCTTGTTCTATCCCCAGAGGCCAAGATGAACAAGTTTTTTCCCTCCTCCTTATGACACCCTTTTAGATATCTGAAAACTGCTATCATGTCCCCCCTCAATCTTCTCTTTTCTAAACTAAAACCCAATTCCTTCAGCTTTCCTTCATAGGTCATGACCTTTAATCATTCTTGTTGCTCTTCTCTAGACCCTCTCCA